TGTATTTTGCGTATTTTGAGGTGACGAGTATTTCCTAGACTCGTAGAAAATCTGCCATGTGAATCTATCTGTGTTATAAATATATTTCTTGGGGAAAAAAATATTAGACTTGATTCCCAAGTCTAAAAAGTATAAACATCCTTTTATACTGTACAAATCATATCAACGCAGCTAGTGTGTGTGTGAGACGTAAAGCATAAGAAATAAAAAAAAAATGCTAAATAATAAGCATCTTACCATACAGACAAGGTCATGAAGAAGGCTGTCTCTGGCGTAGGCCAATGCATATATTACCAGAGCATTTTTGTTTGCATGTTTTGCCACAAGTAATGTGTGGTTAATGCGGACCTGATGCCTTGCAAAATGTATCATTATTTGGTGTTTGAGCATCTTAACGCAACTCCTGTTTTATTGTCAGAGAGGGTAAAACCCATTCCGATTTTTCATCCTTTTTTTATACGGGCAAAAAGGTATCCCATAGATATGTTACCATCGCGTTATCCCTGCAGCTCCGTTCCTGCAGCTCCACGTTGGCCTCGGCCACATCCCTACGGATCACGGTTTTTTGCGGTCCGCGAATCACCAATGGTCTGTGAATGACGGGGATTCGCGCATTATTCGATCGCAAATTATTGCATAATATGAAATAGACATATTCTCACCTATAATTGTTCATACTCTGTATTGACCGCAGCATAAACGTCGGAGGGTCGTGCATTGCGATGTTTGGCCGGTCCAATTCCATTATTGATTGTTTGGCTTCACGCGGTAGGAAACCGGAGGAAATCCAACATGAGAAAAGATAACATTCAATGCTGCATACAGATATATTCAAGATGTCATTGCCGTACTGCTCTCTCCTTGCCACCTCGCAGCCCAAGCCTACAACACCTGGCATTCCCTGGCAGTCTCCCATGCAAGCAGAGCCGTCCCTTTCTGGCGCGGTGAATCAGGGCGACCGCCCGGGCCCCACGCTTTGTCGTGGTGTCAGAAGTAATACGTCTGGTTCAGTGTGAAGGCGTCGGGGGTAGGAGGGTGGGGTCCACATTTTGTGATTTTTCCCCGGGCCCCGCACCCACACTATGGACGGCCTTGCATGCAAGTACCAATCGGGCCGGCTTCTGCTTGGCTTGCGAGGTCGGACAAGGTCGGGCGCGATTCGGGGCGAGTCAGTCGTAGGCTGTATTCTGCGCACACCTTGAGGCTAGTAAATAAAATATAAGCTCAGCCCATCATCGTTAAGCATGCTGCCGTTGGTGAAATGAACACCATATGTTGCAGGGAAGTCAACATTGGTTGTATTTAATGATCCTGAGCCCTGATAGACCCAGTTCATCATAATTTATCCCTTCGCCAATAACATTGGGAACTGCCGCGCGCACGAACATCATCGGCCTACCGCAGGACTGGAGCCAACCTGGGAGATAAGGGTATTTGGTTGCTATCAATGTCCACATGATAAGCCACTTAGTTGCGCTATCATTTGTGGCCGGTTGCTTCTGAAAAAGAGCTATATATAGCTTAGTGGGCCTTACCTGGTAAAATACTAAAAAATATAGGTTTGGTTTCTCAAACACTGCGGCCTTGGACTGTGCTCAACGTGGCGGCGTGCTGCTCGTGTGTACCGTATGTTGAACTTTTTTCGCACCGTACGTAGCCAACCGTGCTAATCAGAGGTTCTGAGGCAGAGGTCGCAAACAGGGTACCCGATACCCGTACCCTACCCGATACCCGGCTACCCGTACCCGGCCGGGTACGGGTACCCGTTTGCGACCCTGGTGCGGCCGGGTACGGGTATGGGTAAGGAATCAAAACCCTCTGTTCTGAGGACATGGGGTCACGTGTGGACGTCTACGTGGAGACCGCCAAGTCCCGGCCAGGGGCAAGCAACTGATCACGATGACAATGATGATGATGATGATTGTAAGATATTTGAGTTGGTCACCATTTGTAGAGATTGTCTCCTGTCACAGAAATGTGGAATTTCCACGAATGACTCTGGGCTGCCAACACCGCTGAGCGCTGCCCAGTGCTTCTGTATGGACTTTTTTTTGGGGGGGTCACCAATTTCTCTTTCGTAGAAAAGATGGGGGGTGGGGGGGGCTGTCAATTACAATTTGTGCATCGTCTAAATGTGGGGGGGGGGTGGGGGGTTGGAACGACGCATCGGTCCAATAATATAGATTAGTATCAATTCCTAAACTGACCAGTACATGCGTTGAACGGCGTACGTTGTAACACACACACACAACTCACCAATGCTTCACGTAATAATTTGATTCCTGACTCGTTAATCGTGACCACGAATCGCGACGGTTCACGAAATTGCCAAGGAGGGTGGCGGTGGGGGGCGGCGGGTGGGGGGTTGGGGTGAATTGTGAATTGTTCCACCCCGTGTTTAAATGTGACCTTGTTTCAAGACTACGTAAAAATGCCCCCTATTTTTTTTTAAATAGGGGGCAGAAGCGTAGCAGAGGAGGGGAAGCCGCTCTACCTTTTATTTTCAAAGAACGCAGTTGCGGTTGGTAGAAGAAAGGCCAGAGGGCAGCCAAGAGAGATGATGGAACGGCAGGGCGCTGTTAAGGACGTACAAAAAAGAGAGAGACGGACAGACAGACAGTCGGAGGCAGAGGAGAAAAGGGAGGTCACGAACCCGCGCTTGAACAGGGTAAGGGGGTTAGACATTGCGGGTGGCTGGCGGGTGGGAATCTCAAACCTGTTTGCCCCGTGCATTGTGTTGTGCATCGGGCGGCGCGTATTTTCGCGTGTAGTTAATTGAATCGCAATGGGTCAATGGCAAGTGACAAGCCACTAAAGCAGCACAACATCACCCCCTCCCCGCCACCACCATGCCAACACCACAACACTACTACGGCTACCATGACCGACGCCAACACCACCGATACAAGTACCGCTCACTGTAACTATCACCGCAATTACAACCACAACCACCATAACAGCTATCCCCTCTGCTACCATCACTACAACCAGCACAACTGCCACTGCCACGACCACTATGACCTCTGCACTTCCGATTAGCACGGTTGGCTACGTACGGTGCGAAAGAAGTTCAACGTACATACATGACCGCCACCACTATTTCCATCACTACAGCTACTGCTGAATACGCTGTCACGAACTTCACCGCTTCCACCACTACTACAATAACTCGGCTACCTCCATCAACACCCCCTACCACCACCAACACCTCTACCACTACCAACACCACTACTACCACCACTTACTACCACAACTACCACAGTCACCACCACTACCTTTATCAACACCACTCATGAAAACAGCCACCAGCACCACTACAACCCCGACCACCACCATCAAGACCACTACCACCACAACTATTGCCACCAACGCCACAACAATAAGCACACGACCACTACAACACCACTACAACCACCCACACCACTAAACATCACAACCACCACCACCAAAAAAAAAGACAAAGATACCCCGTATAGCCTTAGCAGACTGTTGGGGCAAGTGCTGTTATCGAGCACCTATGAAGGCTGGCACCGCACACGAGGGGGGAGGGGGGGGCCACCACCACCACCATTGTCACAGCCACCAACCACTACAATTTACCCACCAACAACCACCACTACCCTCTTGCTTGTGCCTCCCCCTCTCTCACCGCCCTTGCACACCCACCCCACTCACCCACCCACCCACCCAGTCCCTCCCCAGCCTCCCGGCTCTCACCCCGTGAAATTGAAACCCGCCACACGCCCACGTTTTGCTGCAGTGCGATTGACTGTAATGAGCAGCGACGGGTTGTTCTCAGACGCAAGCGAGAGAGCGGGCGCACCACCGGATTTCCCCTGCACCGAGATACGCGAGAGAGAGAGAGAGACGGAGACCTAGGTGCACGCGCCCTCCCATCATTGCCGTCTGCGTTACAGCGGCATCATAGCTTCCCAACGCTATTGTCTTGCGTTACAGCAGGCCCCGTAGCGGAGTAAAGTAACAGCGGCCCCCGAAGCGTCACAACATCACGGCAGCTTCATTGGCTGTCAACGTTACTAATAGGGGTTTTCCCCTTTTTTCTGGCAACAAAACTGACACCTTTTGCAAGGAATCATGCTTACATTAACCACAATACTTGCAGTCAAATGCAAACAAAAAACAATACTCTGATAATTTATGCATTGTCCTTGAAACTGATTGGTCCACACCAGAGACAGCTTTCTTTAGAGCCTAGTCTCATATGGTGTTCGACCAGATGACGCCAAAAGGCGCACAGTTCAAAGACAACGCACTACCAGAGTAATGAGAGCTCGGGGTGAGCAGCTACACCATGATGTAGCTGCTCACCCCGAGCTCTCATTACATTGTGGTGAATGTAAGCATGATTCCTTGCAAAAGGTGTCAGTTTTGTTGCCATAAAAAAGGGGAAAACTCCTATTAGTATATTTTGGTACTGGCAAAGGAGGTCCCATGATGTCAACGTTACTGTTAACGTTACCGACAGCCTCATCGTTTCTCGTAGGCACAGCGGCATCGTGGCTTGGCAACATTTCTGTCACTGAGTAGCCTTCTCGACGTTGCAGATTTCGTACCGGCAGCCCATAGCTTCTCACCATTGCAGTCATCTAGTAGATTTTTGACGTGGCGATCAACATAACAATCAATGTTCTTGGTTCTTTCGGTAAAGTCACGTAGAAGGGAAATAATAAAATAATAACAATAAAACAATAAAATAATTCTCACGACGTTTCGGCCACAACGCAAGCATCCGTCCTCGGGGGAAGAACAGGTCTGTCAGAAAGACAGCGTCTCTTCTACGTGACTTTACCGAAAGAACCAAGAAGATGAATCCCTGCAGTCACGAAAGCTCTAAATCGACAACAATCAATGTTTAGTGCAGCCCCATCGTGTCGTGTGCCGTGCCAGCCTTCATAGGCGCTCAAGAGTCTGTTAAAGCTATAGGCGGGGGGGGGGGGTGATCTTTGTTCATCTTTGTCTTTTTGTTTGTGTTCGCGCAGCAAGAAGGGCTTCGATGTGCGCTCGTTCGGCACGGGAACGCACGTGAAGCTGCCGGGCCCCTCGCCCGACAAGCCCAACATCTATGAGTTCAAGACGCCCTACGACGCGATGTACCAGGACCTTCTGCAGCGCGACAAGGACCTGTATCCTTGAGAGGGGCTCCAGAGGCAGCGGCGTTAGCCACCGAGCACACACAGGCTGTGCAACTGCACCAGGGCACACGGACGGACCGTAGCGGCCAAGGTGTTGGACTGCGAAGAGCGGGGAACTTTGACGGTGGAGGGGGGGAGGAGGCATTCCATTCCATTCCTTGCACAACGGGGCCCATGCCAAGGACGTTACACAGCTGCTCAGAGGTCTAACTCCGTCTCACTTAGCTCGCACACACAGATAAACGCCTGGGTTCGATTGCTGGTTTGCTACCTGTGATGAAACCAAGCTCTCGGGCGGAGCGGGTTGATAGCTAGTCATCAATAGCTGAACAAAATACTGGCATTTAAATTTGATCCTTCGCTTAATTTGACTACATTCCAACTCTTGGTATGACTGCCATGTGATGAGCAATGTTGTTTTAATGTCATTTAAGAGTGCATTTGGGATAGTGCGCCCTCTAGTGTGGATAAGAAGTCACTTTAAGGCAGTGGCTCTTAGCCTGGGGTGCACACACCCTCTGGGGGTGCGAGATGCCCTTTCTGAGGGTGTGAGACATGGTCATATTTTTTTTAAGGTAAATAATCGAAAACACAAATTAACCACGGACACACAAGTACAACTACTTGGTTTAATCAAACCTATGCATTTATTAACGTATATTTTTTTAACGATTGAGAACCAAAGGGATGCAAGGCTGCAGCAGAGGTTAAGAAGCACTGCTTTGATGGATCTTCTGAAATGCCGTAATGCTCCGCTCACCAATTTCTAGAGGGACATTCCGCCATCTCGTTACACGAAGTTGACAAGGATCACAATTCTCAATGAAGCCAAAAATCAAAGCCTTTCTCTGCTCAAGGGAGCAACGGGGAAAAGCTCGTATACAGTAGAGGCCTTGCAGGTGTTATAAATTCCACATTTCCCTGTCTTACCATAGCCTCTAAATTCATGGCCTTATCAGTCCAAATCGTGACTGCAGCTGGCATCCCCAGGCCAGTGGTGGAAATTCCACATTCATCATCAAGCAAATGGTATCAAACATTTTAACAGTGTTGGGGAAACTTATGGCCTATGAACCGTACCAGGCCCATGCTTTCATATCACATGGCCGACGGCCGCATAAAGCCTAGCGCTTTGAAACTCGTTTCTTCAGAACTGATTTTTTTTGGTTTAGTTTGTTGTCCTTCATAATATAGGTTTTTGGGTCAGATCGCGTTATTTATAAATGTGTCGTAACCCTCCACCACCCGACACGGCCAAACAGTAAAAAATGTGTCACGTTTTCAAAGGACAAAATAATTCCTCTCTTCAACACACCGGTGGGCTAAAGAAGTGAATTATTTTGTCCTTTGAAAACGTGACACATTTTTTTACTGTTTGGCCGTGTCGGGTGGTGGAGGGTTACGACACATTTATAAATAACGCGATCTGACCCAAAAACCTATATTATTAATAATATTGGTCGCGAAAGCTTGCTACGTGTTACATTTGTTGTCCTTCCCCCGCATCTCCGATTAGCACGGTTGGCTACGTGCAGTGCGAAAGAAGTTCAACATACATACAAATTACCTGCAAACAATATTTACGCATCACTGGAAGCGTTTTAGCCACGCTAATCAGGTACTAGAGAGGATGAATATTGTTTTGACCTGGCACCAACACTGCGTTTCCAATTTTTTCACCATGCCCAGCCACTCCCGTCGTTGCAAGCATCTTGACCACACTAATTGGGTGCTGGAGGGAAATATTTTCTGGGACATATAACAAGGGCCTCTTGCAATGACAGGAGTAACTGAGTTGTCTGTGTTAATGCATGGCCCAAACAAAATTATTTGAAAGGCAAAGAAATTAGTTTTCAAGTATCATGGTGTAGTGTAAAGTAGTGTATAGTGTAATGTACTCTGCAGTGTATAGTAGTGTAGTATGTATGCTGAACTTCTTTTGCACCGTACGTAGCCAGCCGTGTAAAGGAAAGTTTGCCCACCCCTGGCCTAAAAAAAAACCAACAGAGGGTTCTATGCCGGCTGGAGGAGGTTGGCGGTAAGCACCGGTTCTCTCGCTGCCAAAGTCACACGCGTTGTGAGCACACGAGGGTGCAGTTAATATCGCTGTCGATGCTTTTGTGTGCACTCGCCCCCGCCCAGCCACTTACGGGGGTCGCAGGGTCATCGCGCACTGTGAGCGGTCGTCAGGGGCTTTTAAAGTAAATCAGCCTAACGGGGCTACTCAATTACTGCCCCAGTCCTATCTCTGGTCACCCCGCCACACGCTCCTAAAAACTGCCCCCCATCGCTCTCGAAATTCCATCCCCTCTCTACCCCCCCCACCCAGCGCGCAATCACACAGCTCCCGCCTCCTCTCCATCTCTGCCCCCCCCCCTTCTTTTATCTCCTTGCATCAACGTCTCCCTCCGTCTGCTCGTCCGATATTAAGTGATTTTTTATTCGCGGCAGTTAAATAGATCGGCCACTGGGGGCCTCTTAATAGCCATAATTCATTGTTCGCCGGTTGGGAATTCGATTGGCGCCCCCTCCCCCGGGTGTTGTGTTTGTGCTGTCGATGCACTCCCGGGCGGCGGGGTAAGTGATTGGGAAGTTTTGACCTTAAGTCGGCGGGGACGGGAGGACAAAGCGTTCGCTGCGCTCGGCAGAAAGCGCGACCAATGGCGGGCCGACCGGCAGCAGCGTCGTCGTGGATTCTCCATCGTGGTATTTTTTTCCCTTTTTTCCATTTTTTTCCTTTTTTTTCCTTTTTTTCCTTTTTTTTCCTTTTTTCCCCTTTTTTCCTTTTTTTTCTTTTTTTTCATTTTTTTTTCCTTTTTTTTCCTTTTTTTCCCTTTTTTTTCCCTTTTTACCCCCTGCCCGAGCGTGGTTGCGGCGTCGCGCGTCATGTAATCCGGAGTTGATGGATCGCTTCCGTGCGTGATGTAGCGATTGGGCTCGTGATATACGTGCGCGAGGCATTCCACAGCTTGACGAGGGGCCCTCCCCACGTTTTACCAGTGGCTTACTGTTACGCGCGTCGAAATTGTAAGATTCACGATTGTTGTGATTGTTTCTTGGAAACGAGGCATGTAATGGTTCAACCACCCCACCTAAGCATTGTATTTGTCTTATCTGCCTCTTGTCTTGTTTTGTCTCATTCATTCTTTTTTGCTTATGTGTAATATTTACCTCTCATTTACAATAGATTGACTTAATGGTAAATAATCGATTCCTAAATGCACAATTCCCTCTTTGTATTCTGAGCACGAGTATCCATTTGAATCGATGATATGGTTTCCACATACGATGGAAATTATCAGAAACTATAGAGTCTTAATTGCACAACAGCCGATTCGTCAATTTGTAACCCCCGAATCGCCACAATCCTTCGGCAATGTGGAGACGGTGGAAATCGTGACAGTTCTGTATTCGTTCGTGATTTACTTGCAGATTTCTACGTCGCCTTTTGATGCAAGTACAGCAAGTAGGTTGCCGACTTGCCTATGACTATCTCTCTTTCGAGGTGGATTTTTATCTTTTCCAATTCTGTGTGTGCCGTTGGCCTCGCGCCACGACAGATTTACTGTTAGGAGCTCTGTCGGCAGCTGGGTAGAGAACTACACAGTTTCTGAAATCACTTCATTAGGCCTCTCCTCTTATCTGCCCTGTGTGCTCACACGATTTATATATATTCGCCGCGGCGATGACTGTGGCATGAGAGTCACACCGATGCGCGATTCCTGGAGCCGTATTCGACGTTGCACTTTGTAACGATTGCGCAATTGGCGCCACGTCCCCAAGAAGGAGAATCCGTTCAGATTGCAACCCCTTTATTCTAGATTTGAAGCTTTCGTGACTGCAAGGATTCATACTCTTAGGTTTATTCGGTAAAGTCACGTAGGTAAAAAAAAAATAATAAAATAATAATACATTTATGGAGTTTTTTTCATTTATTATTTTTCTTTTATTATTATTATTTTCCTACGTGACTTTACCGATAAAACCTGAGAGTATGCAACCCGTTTAGTTTCAGAGAACGGCACACAGAAGTGGATATCATGGAGCTTTATCTGGGATTCCTTTCAAGTTGACCTCTGGTCCACAAAGTATGACAAAGCACATTTCCCGCCCACTCTGCCACTCCGAGTAATACTCCTAGTTGTTTCGGTAAAGTCACGTAGGTAAAAAATGAAATTAAAATTAATAAAAATTAAATAATAAAACATCACGACGTTATTATTTTATTTTTATTCATTTTAATTTCATTTTTTACCTACGTGGCTTTACCGAAAAAACTAAGAGTATGAATCCTTGCAGTCACGAAAGCTTCAAATCTACAACTCCGGGTAATGTTTATGATGTAACAATGAAACCGATTGTTTAAATTCTAAATAAGCAATCAAATGCAGAACCAAATTTAACGTGATGGATTTTTTGTGCGATCATTGGTGATTGGGCTTTAGATCATGGCCAGCCAAAACCTAGATATGAACTCAACATCTCAGTGTGCCAGTCAAGTGGCTACACCATGGTATCAGCATGTTTGGATCATCCCACCTCATCGTATATCAGATACTTGAGTGTTTTCCACTGCTATGGGTGTGTTTCAACCAGGTCGCCTGGTTTCCCCATACATTTTTTTTTACTCCTTAAGGAATTGGCGAAACGTTGGAATGCACTCAAAAATACACAGAAGAGGTTTGCAACCTACTTGCTCCACCACTTTCTGCAGGCTACCCTAAAGCACTACATTACTAAATTATCTTCTTGGTTCTTTCGGTAAAGTCACGTAGAAGGGAAGTAATAAAATAATAAAAATAAAACATAATAAAATAATTATCACGACGTTTCGGCCACAACGCAAGCAGCCGTCCTCAGGTGGAGAACAGGTCTCTGTCTACTTGACGGACCTGTTCTCCACCTGAGGACGGCTGCTTGCGTTGTGGCCGAAACTTCGTGAGAATTATTTTATTATGTTTTATTTTTATTATTTTATTACTTCCTTTCTACGTGACTTTACCGAAAGAACCAAGAAGATGAATCCCTGCAGTCACGAAAGCTTTCAATCGAAAATTAGTAAATTAATTTAACTAATAATGCTGCTCGTCGAGAATAAAATATAATGTTACTTGCATTGTTAACTATAAAAAAAACATTTATGTTCTTGCTTGCCAGACAGGGATTCAATATGAAATTTGATTGTTCGGGCAAATATGATAACATTGCATGTAAAGGCCTTGTTACACTTCCGTATATATATTTAACTAAATGATAAAAACATTTTATTTTGCCAGGTAAGGCCCACTAAACTATAAACTTGTTTTTTTCAGAAGCGATCTGGCTATTAATTATATCTCAACGAAGTGGCTTCTCGTGTGGACATTTATAGCAGCAGAATACTCTAAACTAATGTTTCTAAATGTGGAGGGAAAAACCAGAGGCCCCGGAAAAAAACCACACAACCACGGGGAGAGAGACATGCAGATTCCAAATATACAGCAGGCATTGTCAGGGCAGGATCGAACCAACTACCTCGCCTGCATTCCAGGCGAGGTAGTTGGTATCTTGTCACCATGACCCCCATATGTTTGTAGAGATACAGAGCAGCGTGCTGTTGTACGGTATATTTTTTACCCTTAAAACGCCACAGGGTTCCGCTCTCTATTCAGCTGGGGTGTTTGCCGCGATTGGAGCGTTTCACTCGTGATATGAAACCCCCTGAGTTCGAACCCCGTTCAAGGGTTGGCTCGGCAACGTAGTCCCCTGATAGTTCATCAAACTGAGTTACCACAGCGTGGGAAGTCAGCAACGACAAAACCACCCTCGGTATGGAACGCTATCCCCTTTGCACGTCCGCAACATCAAATGCACTCTTGACTACTTTCAAGAAACATCTAAAGGCTTCTTCTTCTTATCTGTGTTGGCTCAGGGCTTTCGAGCAGCCCTGAGCTTGGCTCTGCGCCTCTGAGTTGTTGACTTGTCTGCAAAATCTGGTGCTTTATAAATGTCATTATTATTTCCAAAGCTCAGCAGGTATTTAACCTGGATATATATGGTTACGGATGAACGACCTCGGTGCATAAAACATATGTTGCAGGCTGCCGCGAGGCTACGCTAGCGGCAGAGGGCTGTGCGACCAAATCAACTTTATTCTGGCCCTCTGCTCCAATCGGCGATGTTCCCCGACCTCGCCAACCCGCGCTGACCAGCGTGCTTAAATGCGGCTCAAATAACCCCCCAGGGCCCACGCGTTGCAGGAAAGTCCTCGTCAAGCAGCGGACCCTATGGAGAGACGAACCCTCCGCCTTGAAGGTGTGTGGCCGATGACCGCCCCAGGCTCGTTGAGACTTTCCAAGTTTCCCTTTTGGGGGCGCGGAATGGCAGAAGAGTGCTTCAGTCACATCTCGGGTTGCAAGGATTTGACAACGGAATGAGCAGCTGTTTATACGGCAGAGTATTGGCATACATACATGTCGGTCAATGCAGGCAGTCCGCTGCTGTGGAGGTGGGATGTACAATTATTTTAATAATAAATCACTACGGATGTTCCGTTCGATTACGCGACTAACCGGATAACATGAGAATAGTTATGGGCAGGGGGGGAAAAAAAGTGTGATGAGCAAGGTTTGGTGATGTCATCGTCACCATTCCCCGCGTCATGCTGGGCGTGGCTTGTAGGGGGGTTTCCAGCCTTCGTGAGGCAGAATGTGAGGGCGGCCATCGTTTTCAAAGGGACCCACATTTGCCAAAAAAAGTAATTGTTAAGAATTTGTTGTCGATTAAATCAACTTTCCATTCTCGCTCTACTCAGTTGTGTTGTACATTTGAAACTTAAAGGAATGCAACGTCATTGGCGAATGCACGGGTGTAACGGTGTGGAAAAAAAACAAATGAATAAACGAAATTCCATCAGGTTGTTTGAAAAAGCGAGAGCGGTAAAAAATGCATGAATGATTAATTGGTGGCCATAAACAAGAGGGATTGTGTAACGTTTTTTTCTGTTTCGTCGTTCATCAGTTCGTTTCTGAATCCGCTTGTCCTGGCGAGGGTCGCGGCGGCGGCAGCGTGGTGAGTAGTGGCGGTCCACACCTCCCTTTCCCTGGCGATGGAGGAATTCCCAGGCGTTCCCAGGCCAGCCAAGCAACATAACATCGTCCTGGCAGCGTGTCCTGGGCCGGCCCTGGGGTCTTTCTTCAGTTGAACGTGCTGCCCAGTACTACCGGGGGGCATCCTTACCAGGTGTTTCGTTGTAATTTATAAAATGGTAATTTTGTTAAATGGTTACTAAGACGGTTAGAGCCTTGCTGCGTGGCAGGAGAGCGTTGTATAATTACTGAGGAGGACAAAGTTTCAAGTTTTCAAGTTTCATTTATGTGAGCCTTTCGGCTCTTGAATCGTGTGCAACCGCAACAAACAAAAAACATGAACAAGAAAGTGACTAAGTGCAAAAAGAAAATCCAAGAAAAGACAGCAAAATATTACAGAAAAAGCACCGTACACCAACGCTGTGTGCAAAAATCCCAGTGGGATGCAAGTCAAACAACAACAACAACCACGAGACAACTTAGATTAAGGCCATCAGTCTAACTCCGTACTACAACAAACAAACATGGCCAAACCAAAAAACTTTTCGAAAATCACCAAAATAAAGCCATAAAAGTAATGAAACAGTGATCATAGGAACTGTGACCGAATTTTCACAATGAACGACGTAAACAACATGTACCATTCAACCCCTGCAGCCATAGCTGGCTGCAAAGTGATCGGTAGGAGACTATGCAGTGTGGAGGAGGGCAATTTTACAGAGACATTCGTTGGCGCAGCACCAGAGGTCGCAACCGGGTACCCGATACCCGTACCCTACCCGATACCCGGCTACCCGTACCCGGCCGGGTACGGGTACCCATTTGCGACCCTGGTGCGGCCGGGTACGTGTAGGGGTAGGCCGTGAGTCACTGGTGAGTAACCATTTGTCACTCATTTCGGGTAGGGTACGGGTACGGGTAGGGAACGGGTACCCGTACCCGGCCGGGTACGGGTACCCATTTGCGACCCTGGTGCGGCCGGGTACGGGTAAGGAATCAAAACCCGTTTGCGACCTCTGCGCAGCACCCAAGGGTCAGCAATCATGCGGGACACCGAGAGCAGGATGGCGATGGCGGTGATGAAACTGGACAAACACCGGAAATCAGGTGTCGTTCGTGCAACATATGCAGGGTCTTTCACCAAGCAAGCGATGGCGTGGTGTGGTGGCATCGGTAACATGCATAGTGATAACCTCGTGTTGTTGATTTTTACATTTTACCTCGAACCTCTTAGCCGGATACCTCAGAGGTCAGTGCCGAGTTGGCACTGCTCATATCCTCGGTTCGAATCGAGGCAGCCATCTGTGGTTAAACCGGGTCCTCAAGTGTCGTGTGTTGTTGGTCTCAGCCCTGGTCACCAATGACTGCGAAACATTCAATTTGTCTCTGTGCTCAATTTGAATAATTTAAGCTGCGATGATAAAAAAATATTCACGGTCATTCAATCTGCATTACCCTCGGTGGCAGGGCAAGTGTGAAAGTGCTGCCCCTACTAAGCACAAGAGAGGCCCCTTGATGGGATCCCAGAGATGGCTTTGTGATATCCACTTCCATGAGCCGTTGTCTAAAGTATATATTTGTACTGCTCTGCGAGAGATCCGAATGGAATTTTCGTTTCGTGACATGAATTGGGTTGAACTTGGGGAAAATAAAATTAAACACGGAGGCTTTCACTTCTGGCTGTCGCCTGATGATGCTAGTTGTAATTACTGAAAAAACGTCGTACTCGAATGGTAAATGTTGTGGATTTACTCTCCAACACACCGGTGTGCTATACTAGTGTAGTGTCGTAGGTCTCTTCTTCCTTCTGCTCGAGGCTTGTGTGTGTGCGCGGGTGGCGTGCGTTGCACACACACTCAGTCGGAGACGAGGTAGTCGCAGGAGGCACCGTACTTAACTTTTATTATTGTTGTCGAGTTCACGCCACCAACTCCGGCCCCTCCTCTCTCACGACCACGCGGCCGCACGACTTGGCCCAGACACGACCCTGTCCACGCTGCACCGACGGCGTCGACCGAGACAGCCAACTTCTCTCCGGCTGCTCAATGATCAGGCGAAGGCGGCAGCGACGACAGCGACGACGAGACTAGTCCACTCCCAGAACCGGCAGCCCGGAGCTCTCACTCTCCGCTGCTTTTATTCCCCTCGGTGTGGCTTGGCCCCGCCCTAGCCGTGCCTCCCTTCTCGAACCCTCCAGATGGTTCCAGGGGCCTCCCCACGAGGTCTACCGTGACCCTTGCCCCAGTTCCTCCGCCCTGCCGGCCCACACACCGTGTATGTGCTCAACGGCGTGTGCGCTAAGTGCCCGCCTGCAGTTGCAGCTGCTGTACAACAGTCAGCGCTATGTCACTACACTAGTAACGAATCGGCATGTTTTGTTTACGTGACAAACCTTAGTCATTGGCTGTGTCGGGCGGTGGCGGGTTTAACGACACATTTATATTTACGCGATCTAACCCAAAAAAACCCTCTTACGGGGATAATACATGTTCAGATTTGTAAATGACGAGAAAAATATACCGTGCTGATGAGTCCTAATCGGGACCAAACCAGTCCACAGCTGTCTATCACTGCATTACCGGTGCCTATCAGTCAGTCACATTTGCCTACATTTATTATGATCGCTACCTGAGACAAGAGGACCACAATGCACCTCTTCTTGGAAACGCTGATAGTTTTGCATATTTACACGGAGGTTGTGTGCTTTCTACAAAATGTGTACTGTGTACATATTTGGTTTATTCTCATCTCTCCCAGCCGATGTACACTTGTTCCTTAATTTCCTAACCGAACCGGACCCTCCGCGATGATAGGTACACACAAAACGGAATCCTGCACATGCTTGACCGCAACCGACGCATCAAGCCGTGCCCGGAACGCTTCCAAGAGTGCCCCGAAAGGTTTGCCTCCCACTTTCACTCCCATCGTGCATCACCAGATTATCGTCATACCGCTGTCGATTCGTTGAAAGGCGTTTGTCCTTCGTCGTTTGTCCATCGTGACTATAACTCGAGAACTAAAACTGGTGCAAGGATGAGCAAGGCAGTGCCAACAATCTCCCCTCAAAACTGGGGATTGTTTTTTTTATTGACAGGGTATATATATGGAGCCTTACCAGACGAGAGGGCTAAATATGCCAGGGAGCCATTGGTTGGTTGTAATTACTGACAAGAGATGCCTCTTGACGGACATCTCAATTACGATATATTTCAACTCAATGTCTGCTGGAAGAAGGCCTCCCCAAACTCACCATGGTGGCAAGATGTTGACTGCCTCGCCTGGTATACAGGAGGTCGTGGGTCCGATCCCGACCTTGACGCCTGCTGTATATTTGGAGTCTGCATGTCTCTCTCCCCGTGGTCGCGTGGATTTTTTCTCTGGGTCCTCCGTTTTTTTCCTGGGCCTTTAGAATCAACGTACCGAGAGATTATTTGGCTGATGCTATAAATTTCCACGTGAAAAGCCACTTCGTAGAGCTATCATTTGTGATGGCCAGGTCACTTCTGAAAAAAGAGCTACACAGCTCAGTGGACCTTACCCAGTCAAATAAAAATTATCCCGTAAAAACAAAGTTTTTCACTATAAATCCTTTATATGCGTGGCATCGGTTTTATTTTATTATTCATTTCTGTTTTTCTTGAGTAAGAGTTTCATTAATATCACATTGGTATTTTAAATTAAATATGAAAAAAAAAATTTCCTAAAAAGTGGAAAATTTTGGAAAAAAATTTCACGCACGAGTCTGTGCAAAATATCAGCTCGATTGGATCACGGGAAATGGGTTAAAAAACGACTGAAAGATTTGCACTGTCGTAAGCGCGCAAGCAAGCAAGCAAGTGAACTTAATATAAAGGATTTTTTTAAAAATTGTTTATATTCTTGGTTATTTCGGTAAAGTCACGTAGAAGGGAAATAATAAAATAATATAAAACAATTCTAATTTTCACGACGTTTCGACTGCAACACAAGCAATCGTCATCAGGTGTGAAAACCACAGCAAGATATACCGTGCAAGAAAATTTTCTTGCTGTGGATTTTACACCTGATGATGATTGCTTGTGTTGCAGTCGAAACGTCGTGAGAATTTTTTTTTATATTATTTTATTATTTCCCTTATACGTGACTTTACCGAAAGAACCAAGAAGATGAATCCCTGCAGTCACGAAAGCTTTAAATCGAAATTTAGTAGTTTAGTAGTTTAGTTTCAACTGTGTCCGTTGTAGTGGTAGTTGGGGCCACGCTGGTCAGTGCAAGTTGGTGAAGGGGGGGGAGCACGCCCAGGACCGACGCAGCTATCACTCGCCACTGATGTTAGCCGTGGGCCCAGAAATCTAACTCGGGTCACCGAGTGGTTAGCATGGAAAAACATCTCGACACGTGATCACGGATGTACACCCACGTAGCTATGCACACACAGAGATAAACACATACACACATCTGTGTATCTATCCACAAAACGATACAAATGTTATGGCCTTACACAGATTGGCTAGAGGGTGCTATACCCAGCCATCTCTTCACAATGCTGATGTTTAACACACCACACTCGGTACTCATTAAAGGCTGAGTCGACCTAGCGGAGGGTCGGCACTAGTTTTTTTTTCCAAAATCTCATGCGCTCCACATGTTTGACACTGGGATGTGCGTGTCGTACGTTAGGTTTGACCTGATCCTGACGTGTGAGGAACGGGTTTACGACCAGGTCGTGGAAGGTAAGAGACCATGTCATTGTCCTCTCTCGGTTTGACACGTAGGAGACTTTTGCGACCAATATCATCCATAATACAGGTTTTTTTTTAGTTAGATCTCATGAATATATAAATGTGTCGTCGTTTAACCCGCCACCGCCCAACACAGTAGTGTACAGCACACCGGTATGTTGGAGAGCAAATCTACAACGTCATCACATCTACCCCTCTATTTAAGAAACGAAACAGGAGGATTTCTCCCCAAATCTGGCCGTCGCCTGATGATGCTGGTTGTATTTACTGGCGAAACGTCGTACTCAGATTGTAAATGTTGTGGCTTTGCTCTCCAACAAACCGGTGTAGTAACGAATTGGCACGTTCTGTTTACGTGACAAACCTTACTAGTTGGCTGTGTCTGGTGGTGGCGGGTTTAACGACACATTCACATATTTACGTGATCTAACCCAAAAAAACTTGTATTGTGTCCTCTCTCTCGCTTTACATTCTTTACATTTTCAAAATATCGAAGCATCTCCCCGTCGTGAACTTCAGTTGCACATTAAACAGTCCCCCTTAATCGCCTTCCATTTCTCTCAAAAACCTCACCTCTTCTTCATCGCCCGATCTCTTCCCTCGCCTTTTGTGTTTAGTTTGTTGTCCTTCCCCCGCACCTCCGATGAGCACGGTTGGCTACGTAGGGTGCGAAAGAAGTTCAACGTGCCTAAGTGCCCCGCTATCGCTGTCACTCATTTCTCAATCCTTGTAGCACGCCCCTGTCAACTGCATCGTTCAATTTGGTGTCACCGATTTGTAAGCTACTTCAAACACCGCCCTTTAAATATAATTAGATGAGAAATTGGAATTAGATTAAACCGAGCACCACACGATGCTCACCTCTCTTGGCAGCGACGCTTTCCTGCATACATAATGATAATATGTTTGAAATACCATCGGTGATACTTTATTGAAATGTCCGTGGTCGGTAGGCAGTTGATTCTGGCAATGAGACTTATCCCGATGGGATCTCACCGGGTTAAACACATCAACTCTCTAAACCCTGGAGCACAGCGTTCGGAACCTGCGTCAGCAAAGTTTCTGTACACCCTCGCTGCGTCACGGTCTGTGCTCCGTACAGGGCTTCTCATTGCGCTTCAATAAAAAAAATATTTAAAAATAAATCCGTGCATGAACTTGACTCGACTGGGCCTCACAGAGCCCACCACCCCAGGCGTCCTCGTTACTTGAGAAAATGTATTTATATTTCGATTTAAAGCTTTCGTCACTGCAGGGATTCATCTTCTTGGTTCTTTCGGTAAAGTCACGTAGAAGGGAAATAATAAAATAATAAAAAATAAAACATAATAAAATACAATTCTCACGACGTTTCGGCCACAACGCAAGCAGCCGTCCTCAGGTGAAGAGCAGGACTGTCGGAAAGACAGCGTCTGAATGAACAAACAGCGTCTGAATGACGCTGTCTTTCCGACAGCCCTGTTCTTCACCTGAGGACGGCTGCTTGCGTTGTGGCCGAAACGTCGTGAGAATTGTATTTTATTATGTTTAATTTTTATTATTTTATTATTTCCCTTCTACATGACTTTACCGAAAGAACCAAGAAGATGTATTTATATTATTTTTGCTGCTATAAATTTCCACGTCATAAGCCGCTTGGTTGAGCGATCATTTGCGGGCAGGTCGCTTATTAAAGAGAAGGTAATAATACAGCTCAGTTGGCTTTACCTGGTCATATAAAAAATACTCTTTGGTTCTTTTGGTAAAGTCACGTAGGTATAAAATAAATTAAATTAAATCACGACCTTTCCATTGCAACACAAGCGACCGTCATCAGGCGGAACCGATACAGCAGGACAACTGCTGATTTATCAGTCGCGAAAACTTCAAATCTAGAATATAAAAAATCTTTTGTTACAGTGCTTTGTTTACCTTCCCTATACTGTGCACTCCTATCGTGTTTGCGTATCGTTTGTTGTAACGTTCTGACCTCCTTTGGACATCTGTGAAAAAGCACTTCATAGCTCATCGGATTCCTCCGCTATAAACGGGGAGATCCCGTTCCCACAACCAATCTGTCAGCGTTCTGTCGAGCAGACCTGAGCGGCCGTGAGCAGGAGAGCTTCCAGCCGGTGCACGTCATCAACGTGGACGTGCAGGACAACCACGAGGACGCGACGCTCGGCGCCTTCCTCATCTGTGAGCTCTGCCAATGCGTGAGTGCGCTCCTCGGTAACACACGGGCGACATAGCATGGTAACGCGGGCGACTGCACAGTAACCCGGGCGACTGCACGTGCCAACACACGCAGCGTCGCACAGTGACACGGGCGAGGTATATGTGTATGAAGTCGTGGTTGCACTGTTTAGCACACTGCGCTCTGAACCTTACGACTTAAGTTCAACTCCCAGCCGCGGCTAGCCGAGTTAGCGAGCGGTATCTGAATTGGTCCTGGGCCCCCGACCTTGACCAAAGCGCACTAGTGTGAAGAAGTATGGTGAAACATCCCCCATAACCAGCAAACCATGGCGGAAGCCTCCACCCAGCAGTGAATTAACAAAGGGCTGTAACTTATCAGAAAAATAAATCGAATATTTGCCCTCACGCACCGCTTAATTTCCCATGCAAACAGCAACGTTATCACTCCGAAGTCATCTTCTCATCACGTCTACCCATTAACTTGCGCTTGACACGGGGAGGCTCCCGCGCGTTAATAAAAGTGGAGCATCGTTCGGCATCAACACGGCACGGGGCCGTGACACGTTCCACGAACGCTCGCTGCGCGGAACTTTAAATAAATCACGGGGCGACATTCAGCGCTCCTCACGATATCCCCCCCCCCCCCCGCCGCCGTGCCCCACGAGCGTAAGAAGGGCTTCTCACGAAACGTTTGACAACAGCACCGTCGTTACTGTTTACTTTAGCGGAGAGCCGGACCGCGGTTAAATGTGGGTCCTGAGGCTCGCAGCGAAGTGCTCGGTGCTTCACGATTTAACGGTGGTAATTTTGCGCTGTTTGCAATTTCTTTCGGTTTGTGGAATTGCACGTGGCATGAAAAGCAGTGTAGATTTCATCGGGAGGAGGAGGTGGTTGCGATTGGTTCGGGGGCCACGTGTGCAGGGTGGAGGAGGAGGGCATTGGAGTGGCACCCAGAGTGACGGTGGTGTTGGTGGTTGCTGACTGGCGCAGAGGTCGCAACCGGGTACCCGATACCCGTACCCTACCCGATACCCGGCTACCCGTACCCGGCCGGGTACGGGTAGCCGTTTGCGACCCTGGTGCGGCCGGGTACGGGTACCGGTAGGCCGTGAGTCACTGGTGAGTAACCGTTTGTCACTCATTTCGGGTAGGGTACGGGTACGGGTAGGGAACGGGTACGGGTACCCATTTGCGACCCTGGTGCGGCCGGGTTCGGGTACGGGTAAGGAATCAAAACCCGTTTGCGACCTCTGCTGTGGCGGTAACTGTAAAAGTGGCCGTTGAAGGATGTGTTGGACGCGTAACAGCTACGCAATCTAGCGGAAAGGAATCATTGGCAAGGTGTTGTAGGATTGGCAGTCCAGGCCCATTGTAACCTCTTGACCTCAGCATCTTCACCTCATTTAACCGCCGAACACAGCCATAACCTTCATTATCATCGCTCCTCTGCCACCACCATGTCCCCTTGACTTCACTTGTGCACGCGTGTGTTTGTGTGTGTGTGTGGGGAGCGGTGGCGCAATGGTTAGCACGCTGCGCTACGAACTCGGTGACCCAAGTTCGATTCCTGCTCGTGGTCAACACGAGTGACGAATATCTGAACCGGTCCTGGTCCTCCCCTAGGTCGACTCAGCCTCAAATGAATGTATGCATGAATGTCGAACTTCTTTCGCACCGTACGTAGCCAACTGTGCTAATTGGAGGTGCGGAGGAAGGACAACAAACTAAACAACAAAAAGCAGAGCACCTGGTGCGATGTGTAAACATCACCACAGGGCGTGGTGCTGGCCACCCACCCCCTCGTGTGCCGTGCGGGCCTTCATAGGTGCTTCTGCTACTCGCTAACAGCACTTGCCCCAACAGTCTGTTACAGGCTACACGGGGTGGGATCTTTGTCTCTCTGTTGTTTGTTTGTGCCGTCTCATCCGCGAGCTGCAGATCCAGCTGACCGAAGACCTGGACAATGAGATTGACGAACTCGTGCAGGACTTTGAGGAGAAGAGCGGGAAGCTGATTCTGCACACGGTGTGCTTCTACTGATCGCGGCATGGGGGGTTTTCTCTCCGCGGGTACGAGGAGTTTTGCGGGGGTGCTGAGATTCACGAGATGGGGGGGGGTGGGGGTTGAGACGGGAGGCATCCCATCTTGTACTGGTACCCCCCCCCCCGCCTTTCCACCATGCCCCCCCCCAATTAGTTCCGTTTAACTGCCAACCGGGATGACACTTGGCTGACACTCGGCTGCGTTGAGCTTGCCCATGAATGGCCGCACCGAATGCCCGAGACGATGCCATTGCAGTGCCGGGTCCCTGGAGCAAGGAATTAAATGGGACGCCCCCCCCCCGACCCCCCTAGCTCCCCCTCCACCTCCCCCCACTGCCTCCCCCCCCCCCCCCACCCTCGTGCGTCGTCTGGAGGATCCTTCCAGCCCGTGGGCCGCGATGCAGTTGCACCGCCTGCACACTCGCCAGCCGTGCCACTGCGCCAGTGAACCCCGGTTATTGCGGTCGCGACAAAATGGAAGAGAATCGATCGCCGCCAAAGGTCGGGGGGGGAGGGGATGGGGGGGGAGGGGTCACGCACGTGGTTGTGCAACGCAGCCTCGCGTGTTTTTGCCGGTCCGCAGCAAAATGTCACAAGCCGTCGGTGTCCCGTCTGCCGCAACTAATTAGACGGAGTAAGTCATTAATTCTTCCTGCGTTTCTCCCAATTCCTCACAGGATACCCCCCCCCCCACCAACCCACCCAGCGTCTAGCGTCAACCCCCCGCCTCTTGGAAGGGAGCAGATGTGAGTGAGCGGTACGTTGCCGTTTTGCTCATGGCAGAGTGGCGGGCACTGGTCAAAGTGAAAAGTCGGAATGGATCGGGCGCACAGCGGAGCGGAGTGGGGGCTGGATTGCGGTGGATGCAGCACGGTGGGCGCTGAAGGTGAAGAGCGGACAAAGGAAATGTTTAAGACTGCCGGAAAAAACACCGAGAGGTAGCATTCGGTTTGGGGACAGTGCTAGTGCTAGTACGAGTGCGGCGAGGGTTAGAGTTCGTGTTTTATTGACTCGTGTTGTTAGCGGTAGGGCAACTGTTTGCCTATGGATTGGGAGGAAGACCCGTGTTCAGTTAGCTAGTGGAGTTTGGGTTCGGGGTAGAGCTTCTAGGGCAGTTTGGTTAGGGGTTGGCGTAGTGTGTGTGATTCACGAGTGGTGGTTATGGCTATGGGTCGTATTTGGTTGGCTATCGTTGATGATATATTCAGTGGCAGTGTTGGTTTATTGTGAGCTAACACACTTGAGGTCGGCGGTAGAGCTCGGAGCTGGTTGGATAGTGATTCAGGGTGCAAAGTATAGGAAAGGTAAGGAAGTCACTAAGAAGTCTTATAAGTAGAAATTGCTATAATACATCAAATCCTGCCGATTTTTCAACAAGAAATGCAAGCATGGGCAGCAACATAAAAAGTCTCAGACCACACGGAGACAACAACAACACAACCCCTCAATAAAGTTGCATGTTGAAATGTGAGCTGTCAATACCCTCGGGGGTGAGGGGAGGGGGGCATAAGGATCAAAAGTTACAAATCACAATTGCAAATGATCACACTTGTTTACCCAGGCTGGCCCCACCGAGTCTCAAGACTCTTTTTTTTCTGGAGGGTCCTGCCCAGTTTTTCACAGTAAGGGAGCGGTGCTGCCGCTGCCGCTGTTCCTGCGTGTAATCCCAATCGAGTGATTTCCAGGTAATTTTTCAGTTTTTATAATTTTATTCCATGGGTTTAAGTATCTATAGACATGTGCGTATGTATCTATTTGTGTGTGTATAGACACGTGCGTATGTACGTAGGTAACAGCCTGTACCAATTAGGATTGCCGCATCTGTCCACACGTCACACTCTGCGGCTCGAAACCAGAATGCACGGCTCCCCAAAATTCATTTGTCTGGAATTTCTGCAGTTTATTTTTTTTACGGTAGTTGAGCCGCCGTTGACGCGCGATTGGCTCGCGGCCCAATAAACCACAGTGCGGGGGAGCGACGCGGACAGAGCCAGCCGCCGTGGCCCTGTGGTTAAAGGCACTCGGCAAAGAATCAGATGGCGAATTCACATCATGGTTTCGGTGTGGGGTGGTCCGATATTTCGGTCATCATTTCTTTACATTCGTTAAAGTTAATTGACGGCCGTGCTAAGAAAGAGGTTGGACGCTGCCGTAATAATGCGGAATTTCCACCGGTGAAGATGATGCGCTCGTTTGAAATGGGCAATGCCGACTTGGAGACGGAGGCTAGAGGCGAGTGGGTAGTCACACGGCAGCACTCCGTCAGTGTTGCTGCTGGTGGAAATTCCACGTTCCCGTGACAAGTGGCTAGTTTGTCCTCGGCCGAACACCTCTTTCACGTAGAATAATTGAAAGCCGTCTCAATGTGCGCGGTCGAGCGTTGTGCAATGGTGATTACTCGTCACTATTCAAGGTCGCCGTCTGAGAATATCCTCACGCTGCGAGTGAGGGTTTTGGCGCATTCGGTAAGAGAGCCGCAGTCCACGTGTGATGCAGACCTCAACCCACCCACGGGAGAAACCCTGCACACATCTGGCACAGAACCTTGACTTCAATCTTGGCGGAATTCTCAGCTCGTGCGTTTCCAATCCAATTTACAGAACCGTGATGTAATGCAATGTAAATATGCAATATAAATAATAATGTAATAAACGCTAAATAGTGCTTAATGATTCTCTAAATGAGCCCTTGCTGTCTCGTCACGCCGTGTTAATTAAATACATTCTGCGGTCTCGTTGCAAGTGCTTGAACTCGGTGTTTGTTGTCCTTGAGGTTGTCTAGTGAGGGCATTGTCCCGTAGCGGCAGCGGTGGTGAGATATTGTCTCCCTTGCCTGCTATGCAGGACGTCGTGGGTTCGATACCGAGCCGGACGCCTGCTGCTGCTGTATATTTAGAGTTTGCTTGTCTCTCTCTCTCATCATTATCACGGTGGCTAGGAGATGTTAACTACCTCGCCTGGTGTACAGGACGTCGTGGGTTCGATCCCGAACCGGACGCCAGCTGTATATTTTGAGTTTGCTTGTCTCTCTCCCTGTGGTCGCGTGGCTTTTTCTCCGGGTCCTCCGGTTTTTCCCTCCACATATAAAAACACGCGGATGAGATGAGAGTTCTGTGTCGGTTGAGATGAGGGTTCTGTATGGGTTTAGATGAGGGTTCTGTATGGGTTTAGATGAGGGTTCTGTATGGGTTAAGACGAGGGTTCTGTCTGGGTTTAGATTAGGGTTCTGTATGGGTTTAGATGAGGGTTCTGTATGGGTTTAGATGAGGGTTCTGTATGGGTTTAGATGAGGGTTCTCTATCGGATGACAGGAGAGTTCTGTATCATATCATATTCTCCTGCATTGACTGGCACACAGGTAAATGAGATGATGGTTCTGTAGTGGAAGGAAAAAGAGTTCCCGTATTGGATGAGGGTTCCGTGTAGGATTCGGCGAAGGTTCTGAATTGCGTGCGTGAAGGTGTATCGGCCCGGTGATTTCTGTACTACACGGTCATGCATCTGATACGGAAAACCCTTCGCCTGGTTAGGATGCCTTTGTTCAGCTCATAAAGTGCTGACCAATTTCACGCAATCATGCACAGTAATAATAACCCTACACACCCTATTACAACACTCTATTAAACACCATTGTCATGTACATGCCGTTGTTAATAACTAATTGCTATTTCGTGACTGCTTCCTTGTTTTATTAATATTATGATTGTTTACACAGGAAAGCGTTACTATATCTCAACTATTTTTTTTATGAGGATCCTGTTATGATAATTGGTTTTTAACCCTTTTATCTGGCAACAAAACTGACACCTTTTTTTACGACGAGTCATGTTTGCATAGACCACAATACCTGCAGTCATAATGCAAACAAAAAACATAACTCTGATAATGTATGCACTGTCTTGTTGATTGGTCCACACCCGAGACAGCTTTCCTTAGAGCCTAGTCTCACATGGTGTTTTGGCATAATCTGGTCCAACACCATGTGAGACTAGGCTCCAATTATATGTTTTACTGGCAAATGAGGTTCCAATGGTGATCTTGTTATGGTTTCACAGTTAGGGGACGATGTCGTCGCTGCTATGTGTACTTGAATCCCAATTGAGTAATTTTACTGATTTTGTTTTTCGGCATTTGGGATGTTAGGGCCAATGCCAGTTACATTGTACGTTTTTTTTTTCGTTTTTTGTCGCTATGCGAGCAAAACCAGAGGACCTGGGAGAAACCCATTCAGAACACGGGGAGAACATGTTGAGAACATACAGAAAGGCACCCGAGGTCAAGGAATCGAACACGGGCCCTTGATGCTGTGAGGCGCAAGTGTTACCGATGCACCACCCTGCCATATTAACACTGATTGTTGAACTTAAAACTCGTTATGCGTTGGTGCGAATCATTATAGGGGGGGGGGATAATTAATTTAATATCGCTCCCGACAGCGCATCATCAGCCTTTTTTGTGTGGACTTAGGATCCCCTTGAGGTAGACAGATCCTCCGTGCGCTTGCCAATAACATCTGGCAACCCAGCGGCGGTATTCATTTAACGAACATGACTCTGCTGATGGAATCCTGAAGGTTGAAACTTGATGTGTGTGCTGCCGTGAGTTACGTTTGTGTGGAAGGCCGCTATCCGCTGAGTCACCCGCTCCGCCCTCATGTCAACTTAATTCGGTAAAACTGCGGGGTCATTTTGGTGAAAGAAGTGTGGAGTCTGCCCTCCTGATTATTGATACAGAGCCCAGCCTTGCCCCCGTGCCGTGCACCTTGCTGCTTGACAGAAGAGGCTACCCCCTTTTAAAGGCTGCCGGGATTTTTGCGCATGACGCAGCTAATGCGCTTGACAGCCGGGCTCATAACGCGCTCAAAACTCGCGGCGTCCGGCGTTAGATAAGCCGCCCGAACCACCAAGGTCTGGCAAAACTTGTACTGGAAGAAAAACATTCTAATAATCGTTTACATGCCGGGGGTGGAGCGGCGGGAACAGCGGTTGGCACAGCGGCGCTGCGAAATTCAGCGACCTGAGTTCGACTTCGAGACGCGGATAACCCCGCAGGTGATGTTTGATATTGGAAACCCGGTCCTGCACCGCCCCCACCCCCTCCCCTTTAAGCAAACCTGCAGTGACCAGCGTGGTTTGAAGCAATGGTCATCCAACCCCCATGACCCACGCAGCATGGGAAGCATCTTCTTGGTTCTTTCGGTAAAGTCACGTAGAAGGAAAAGAATCTTCTTCCTAGCGTTGTTCCCGCTGTGGCGCAGGGTCCGCTTTTCGGCATTGTCTTCTCCATTTGGCTCGGTCCAGGGCATCTTCAGGGGATGCGTTGACCGTCTTCATGTCTTCCTTTATTCGGTCCATCCATCGCTTCTTCGGACGTCCGTGTGGACGGCGGCCCTCTGGCTCAATACGCACGGCAGTCTTGGCCACCGATGACTCTTCACTTCGCATCACATGGCCGTACAACCGAAGCCTTGCCTCAAGCATCTTGTCCGCAATGGGGGCCACACCAAGTCGCTTCCGAACGTCTTCGTTCCTGACACGATCCCATCGAGTGAGCCCGAGGCTCCATCTGAGCATCCTCATCTCCATGGTGTGGAGAGCTTGTTCGTGTACAGTTGTGGCTGGCCAGCACTCGGATCCATAGAGTGCCACCGGTCGGACGATGGTCTTGTATATTTTTCCCTTCAGCCTATCCGGCATTTTCCGATCACAGAGGACTCCGGTGACTTGCCTCCATTTCATCCACGCCGCATTGACTCGTGACCTCACATCAGTCGTGATGCTACCATCTGAGCTGATGGTGGAGCCCAGGTACTTAAAGTCCGTCACTTTCTTCAGATCTTCTCCGTCAATACTGATGGTGCCGTCGGTTTGGGGGCCACACTCCATATACTCCGTCTTTTTGATGTTGAACCTCATCCCGTTTTCGTCCAAACGTTCCTTGCACAGGCGCGTTTGTCTTTCCACTTCTCCTCTCTCTTCATCTGAGAGGAGGACGTCATCCGCGTAGAGAATTGACCATGGAAGGAGCGTGTGCAGGTCGGCAGTGATCGTGTCCATGCACAGGATAAACAGGAGTGGTGACAGGGCCGATCCTTGGTGCACTCCAACGCTGATGGGAAATGGCGGTGATATGCCCACTGCACACCTGACTGCACTGGTGACGTTCTTGTATAGGAGTTGCACCCAATGCACGTAGGTTTCAGAGACTCCATGGGATCGAAGCGAGTGCCAGATGAGGTCGTGGGGGACCCTGTCAAATGCCTTTTCAAGGTCGAGGAACGACACGTGCACAGCTTTGTTCTTCTCTCTGTGCCTCTCCAGCAGACCTGTTCTCCACCTGAAGACGGCTGCTTGCGTTGTGGCCGAAACGTCGTGAGAATTATTTTATTTTATTATGTTTTATTTTTATTTTTTTATTATTTTCCTTCTACGTGACTTTACCGAAAGAACCAAGAAGATTAATCCCTGCAGTCACGAAAGCATGGGAAGCCTTCATCCAGCAGTGGATTGACAAAGGCCTGAACATTATTGTTGTTATTCAATAAATACCGTCGATGGCAGCGGTGACGGAGTGATATCTGAACTGGACCTGGGCGCCCTTCCACTCGTACCGATCATGCATGGTGAAGTATGGCCAAACGACCCCCCGTGACGGACAAAAGCGTCCGTCTGGCGGTTCACTCTCCGTTGTTTGAGCAGGCAATTGAATAAACCCAACAACTTTCGATTTAAAGCTTTCGTGACTGCAGGGATTCATCTTCTTGGTTCTTTCGGTAAAGTCACGTAGAATGGAAATAATAAAATAATAAATAATCATTTTTATTATGTTTTCTTTTTATTATTTTATTATTTCCATTCTACGTGACTTTACCGAAAGAACCAAGAAGATAAACCCAACAATCGCTTTGTGGAACAGCATTGCCTCCTATATTCGGGCAACCCCCGGGTTACATGAAGTCGTTGTAAGTACACCATTGGAACCTCCTTTGCCAGGAGCAAAATATGATCATTGTTTTTGTTACCCTTTTATCTGGCAACAAAACTGACACCTTTTTTTCACGAGGAGTCATGTTTGCATTGACCACAATACCTGCGGTCGGAATGCAAACAAAAACACACAACTCTCATAATGTATGCACTGTAAGTACCCCGGGTATTTGATTATTTTTTTTGTACCAAATCTAGACGAAATTTTAACAACGATCTAATTGTACCTTTTAACTAACCCGGTACAATATGAGGGATACGAGAAATGCAATTTCTGGAAAGGAAAGCGGCCAGGCTAGGCAAGCGGGAGGCAAGGGAGACACTTCTGGCTTAATTGAGTTAGCCGGCAGCGGGATAGACAAAGTGCCCAACATTATTGTTCATATTCATTACACGCAGTTGTATAGGGCAATAACTGACTATTCCTCGCGAAGAGTGCGATGGTACGAACAGAATTCCGTACGACGGGAGATCGGCTTTCATGCCGACAGGTTTTATTGTGTGGAATCCAATTGACTAGCTCTAATAAGAAGAATAATAACCGCCTTGCGTCTCTCGGCTTTGGACGGCGAACTCTTGGCACGCGAAGGAATCGGGGAGGCTGATTTATGTCTCAAAATATGAGCCGGTGACCTGCGCTTGAGTCATCGCCAGCGGGTTTTGGTGAAAACCGGTGAGAACAATATACACGAGACAGGGTCGGGGAGCAGGGAAAGAGAGTGGCAAGCGGGGACTTAAGCGCGGTGGCTAGGAGATGTTAACTCCCTCGCCTGGTGTGCAGGAGGTCGGGGGTTCGATCTCGACTCTGACGCCTGCTGCTGTTATATTTGGAGTCTGCATCTCTCTGTCATCATGATCACGGTGGCTAGGAGATGTTAACTCCCTCGCCTGGTGTGCAGGAGGTCGGGGGTTCGATCTCGACTCTGACGCCTGCTGCTGTTATATTTGGAGTCTGCATCTCTCTGTCATCATGATCACGGTGGCTAGGAGATGTTAACTCCCTCGCCTGGTGTGCAGGAGGTCGTGGGTTCGATCTCGACTCTGACACCTGCTGCTGTTATATTTGGAGTCTGCATCTCTCTGTCATCATGATCACGGTGGCTAGGAGATGTTAACTCCCTCGCCTGGTGTGCAGGAGGTCGTGGGTTCGATCTCGACTCTGACGCCTGCTGCTGTTATATTTGGAGTCTGCATCTCTCTGTCATCATGATCACGGTGGCTAGGAGATGTTAACTCCCTCGCCTGGTGTGCAGGAGGTCGTGGGTTCGATCTCGACTCTGACGCCTGCTGCTGTTATATTTGGAGTCTGCATCTCTCTGTCATCATGATCACGGTGGCTAGGAGATGTTAACTCCCTCGCCTGGTGTGCAGGAGGTCGTGGGTTCGATCTCGACTCTGACGCCTGCTGCTGTTATATTTGGAGTCTGCATCTCTCTGTCATCATGATCACGGTGGCTAGGAGATGTTAACTCCCTCGCCTGGTGTGCAGGAGGTCGTGGGTTCGATCTCGACTCTGACGCCTGCTGCTGTTATATTTGGAGTCTGCATCTCTCTGTCATCATGATCACGGTGGCTAGGAGATGTTAACTCCCTCGCCTGGTGTGCAGGAGGTCGGGGGTTCGATCTCGACTCTGACGCCTGCTGCTGTTATATTTGGAGTCTGCATCTCTCTGTCATCATGATCACGGTGGCTAGGAGATGTTAACTCCCTCGCCTGGTGTGCAGGAGGTCGTGGGTTCGATCTCGACCTTGACGCCTGCTGTATATTTGGAGTCTGCATCTCTCTGTCATCATGATCACGGTAGCTAGGAGATGTTAACTCCCTCGCCTGGTATGCAGGAGGTCGTGAGTTCGATCTCGACCTTGATGCCTGCTGTATATTTGGAGTCTGCATCTCTCTGTCATCTTGATCACGGTGGCTAGGAGATGTTAACTCCCTCGCCTGGTATGCAGGAGGTCGTGGGTTCGATCTCGACCAAGACGCCTGCTGTATATTTGGAGTCTGCATCTCTCTGTCATCATGATCACGGTGGCTAGGAGATGTTAACTCCCTCGCCTGGTATGCAGGAGATCGTGGGTTCGAACCCGACCCTGACGCCTGCTGTATATTTGGAGTTTGCGTGTTTTCCCCGTGACTGCGTGGATTTTTCTCCGGTTCCAGTTTTTCCCTCATTTATAATCAACACGCGTTTAGAGTATTGGCTGCTATAAATGTCCACGTGATAAGCCACTTCGTTGAGTTATCATTTGTGGCCAGGTCGCTTCTGAAAACCCCAGAAGACCATGAGGAAAATCCACGCGACCACGGGGAGAACATGCAGACTACAAATGTACAGCAGGCGTCAGGGTCGCGATCGAACCCACGAACCTTCTGCATACCAGGCGAGGTAGTTAACATCTCCCCACCGTGGCACCCCAGTCTCTCACGAGCTACGTTGGAACCTATTTCGCAAGCAGTTGCTCGAGGATTTAAGAAAAAATCAAAATGAATGGGGCATTTGGTTCGGAAGAACTAGAGGAATAAACACGTCACGATTCTTCTCCGTAATTCTATCTTGGCTTAACGTAATTTACATAGCGCCTTAGCAAATGCGCTTCACAGAGAAATGGTACATATGAATGTAATGATACGATTGAGGATGACGATTCGATTCACGAATGGTAAACTAAACTGTAAACTAAACTTTTATATTTTACCAGGTAAGGCCCACTAAGCTGTATAGCTCTTTTTCATCACAATTGATAGCTTAACTAAGTGGCTTATCACGTGGAAATGTATTGCAGCCAAATACTCTCAACGTATATTTCTAAATGTGGAGGGGAAGAACCGGAGAAAAATGTACGTGCCCACGGGGAGAACGTGCAAACTCCAAATGTACAGCAGCAGGCGTCAGGCTCAAGATCGCACCGACGACCTCCTGTATACCAGGCGAGGTAGTTAACATCTCATAGCCACCGTGATGATGATGAGTGAGAGAGACGCAAACTACAAATATACAGCAGCAGGCGTCAGAGTCGGGATGGAACCCACGACCTCCTGTATACCAGGCGAGGTAGTTAACATCTCCTTGCCACCGTGATGCATCGCTCTTAGGCTCGTGTGTGGCACGTGCAGAATCTGTGTGCAGTATAAAACTGCAGCGTTAAAACAAATATATGAACACGTGTGAATTGTAACCGATTTGTATGTTACATTTCGATTTAAAGCTTTCGTGACTGCAGGGATTCATCTTCTTGGTTCTTTCGGTAAAGTCACGTAGGAGGGAAGTAATAAAATAATAAAAATAAAACGTCGTGAGAATTATTTTATTATGTTTTATTTTTATTATTTTATGACTTCCCTTCTACGTGACTTTACCGAAAGAACCAAGAAGACGATTTGTATGTTGTTTATGTCGTGTATCATCACCGACGCAGCCGGTAAACACGTCGGAGGGCTGTGACTTACGTAACGCCAAACCATGTACCCTCATACCCGAGAGTTTCGAGCAGTGCCTTGTCTCCTCTGACGATCCTGCGACCCTGCGATTTAAATTCCTCGTTCCCACGCCGAGACAAAGCTATTCTCCGTAAGACAACGATGACTATATTCTTGGTTCTTTCGGTAAAGTCACGTAGAATGGAAATAATAAAATAATGAAAATATAAAACAATTAAATTCTCACGACGTTTCGACTGCAACACAAGCAATCATCATCAGGTGTGAAATCCACAGCAAGAAAATTTGAAAAAAATTAACCCGTAAAAACAAAGTTTTTCACTATAAATCCTTTATATGCGTGGCATCGGTTTTATTTTATTATTCATTTCTGTTTTTCTTGAGTAAGAGTTTCATTTTTATCACATTGGTATTTTAAATTAAATATGAAAAAAAAATTCCTAAAAAGTGGAAAATTTTGGGAAAAAAATTGTCACGAAAATAAATTGTCACGCACGAGTCTGTGTGCAAAATGTCAGCTCGATTGGATCACGGGAAGTGGGTTAAAAAACGACCGAAAGATTTGCACGGTCGTAAGCGCGCAAGCAAGCAAGCAAGTGAACTTAATATAAAGGATTTAAAAAGTGGCGTTTTTTCTTAACGTCAGCACCACGGACAGCGATTTGGCAGTTGGTCAGATGGACGAGTTCATCTATGTTCGGAAAAGAGGGGGGGGAGAGGAAGAGAATGGAATGCGGTCTGAAAGTCACCGTAAGCGTGAACACAATAAATTAAGACCCGAAAAGGTTTATCACATCCTTCCAATGATTGCTAAGCCAGAATCCATCTTCTGGGTTGAAATTGTCTCTGTGTTTGTATATGTGGATAGCCTCATGGCACCGTTAACTCTCGGTTGTCAATGCCGGGGTGGGTTACACCCCCCCCCCCCCCCCCCCGGTTGTGGAGTTGCCCTGCTCGCGAAAACATTAAGTGCGTCTGGTGTGTCAGCTGATCGTCATCTATCGAATGACAGTAAAAATGTCAGCGAGTTAAAGCGACTACTTTTGAGATAGGATAAAAACAGATGGAATTTCCGTCTTCACTCCCCCCCCCCCCCCCCTCATTCTATGTAAGTAAACAATAACTATGATTTTCATAGTATAAGTTTCATTTGTTGTGCATTTATCCGTGTGTTCGTTTTTGGCCGGGCCACCTTTTTCCCCCTCTTCTCCCAACACATTCGAGAGATGACTGCACTCATTTTATATTCCCCATAAGAATATAAAAATATATATATTCTACGCATTCGTCATTAACACTGTGCGCGTGGTCTTACCAGAAGAAGAAAAACACAATATGCAATAAGCGACGTTTGGAGCCATGACCTTTAACTTATCTGGCAGCTTAACGTTGTACAAAAAAGGGGGACAGAATATGGACGATTTAGATGGCAGGGGGCGTGCTGCATGGATTGAAGAATGGGTGACCGCTATAGAGGACTACTTGGAGATCACGAAAGGGTCGGGAAGAGGAAGAGAATAACAGCGCTTTTATACATTTATATCCTATGCAGAAGGTGCTGTGAAGAAGGGCCGAAATCTCGCCTGTATTATATAAGTTTGTTTTCTTTTTAAAGGCCACGCAGTGTTATTAACAAATGCGTTTGAGTTGTTTTAGTTTCGTGCTTTACGCACCACTGCCAACGCAGTGTCAGTGAATAATGTCACCCCTAAGGATGGTAGGGCCAGTTCGATCCCTGCTTTGGAGTTGAACTCGCAATCCTTCCAACTGCGTGCCGGGCGCTCTTGCAACTTAGCAACTCGACCAGATCGATTTTGCAATCGATAATTAACGCATCTCAATAGGTCCACACCTAGTTAATAAATCACGTGGTACAATGTGACCTGTAATTCAAAGATCTGATTTTGTTTCAAAATGTAGCGATGCTGTGTTGGTCTCTCTACGTGTAAACAGAAAATGGTCAAAGTTTCTGCTCAAATGTGCAGTGGAGTCGTGATCATATCCCCCCTTGGTGTCTTTGCGTTTCTCACATTCTGGGAATTCCACATTCCTATGGAGCGGACCCATCAATTAATAGGAAGTCCACGGCACTGGTGACATTGTACAAAGTGATCAGTAGAGAAATGAAACGAGTTATTTGGGTGCCACTCATCTCCATTGGCGCCTGTGAGCCTGAGGTGGAAATTCCACATTCCCATGACGGGTACCAGCCGTATATTCTTAACGATTCTTAACCCGATATACTGACTACAACTGCACAGTAGTCTTATGATCCCGATCTCGTATCATTTGGAATATGAGCAGGGTTTGAGCTTAGTGCTAAATGAGAAACTAAACTATTTTCATTTTACCAGGTAAGGCCCACTGAGCTATGGAGCTATTTTACAAAAGCGACCTGGCCATAAATGAAAGCTCAAAGAAGTGGTTTATCATCAACGTGGAAATGTACAGCAACCAGATACTCTTAAACGCGTGATGTTGATTCTAATTGTGGAGCGAAAAACCTAAGGAGGACCCGGAGAAAAATCCACGCGACCACAGGGAGAACATGCAAACTCCAAATATACAACAGGCGGGATCGAACCCACGATCCTTCTGTATACCAGGAAGAGGTATTTACACTATGAGACATCTCCTTTACCAGTGGCAACATATAGTATAGGTTTTTACCCTTTAAACTGGTACAAAACTGACACCTTTATACAAGGCATCATGTTTGCAATAACCGCAACACAAGCAGTCAAAATGCAAACAAAAAGAAACAACTCTGATAATGATAATGATATGCACTGTCCTTGAAGTTGATTGGTCCACACCCGAGACAGCTTTTCTTAGAGCCTAGTCTCCATTGGTGTTGGACCAGATGACGCCAAAAGGCATATCATTATTAGAGTTGTTTCTTTCTGTTTGCATTTTGACTGCTTGTGTTGTGCTTATTGCAAACATGATGCCTTGTCTAAAGGTGTCAGTTTTGTACCAGTTTAAAGGGTAAAAACCTATTACTACAGGAAGAGGTAGTTCACATCTCGCCACCACGAGGGCGTGCCAGGTGTTGTAGGTACAGCTCTACGAGGTGGGCAGGAGATGGCAGGACACCAGTGGGTCCAACCCGCACACGTGTGTGTCTGTCTGTGTATTGAATCGATCGGTGCAGAGATTTGAATAATATCCCCTCTTGCATGTGTGGGTTTTCTCTGGGTGCTATAATTTCCTTGCACATGACAAGTAAATTTATGTTTTTTAACGTCCCAGAATTGAGCACTAAAGTAAATGAGTTTTTTTTTGTTTCGTATATATATTGCGAAATGTTAGTTTGTTTTATGCTGACAGGAACCCCCCCCCCCCCCCCCATGCTTTATAAATAGTGCTCTTACCAGTATGGTCAGCTTCAGCAAATTCTGACTCTGCTGATAACACCCTGCAAGTTGAAACCGGTCTGGAGGGCTTGTGTAAATAAACACCGCTGGTTGAATATAAGTCTAGGATGGGCAATAGGGGCGATTGACTAACACCTTTTTTTTTTCAAGTCATGAATGGATAAAGCGAACGCCAACTACCCCCAGTTACTGAAAGGTCCTCAGACTCAGCGCCTCTCTACTGGGTATATAATTGGCATCGTATACTGATTATGTATTTGTATACAAGATGGGAGCTGTTATGTTTAATATATATACCGGGGGTTCCTACATTGGCTTATCGCATTCACCACAAACTTACACATTTTATCCACCCCCCCCCCTTACCATCTCCATGCCGCCCCCACTCCCACGCTCCCCCAATCCCATTCCTAACCCCCCCACCTTCACCTCACCGCGGCACCACCATCACCACCACCATGCCCTCCCCCCCTCTCCACCGTCATCCCCAACCAATTGATGTGCACGTTGCGGCGTAGCGAAAGCCAAACGTGTGACATCAGTGCAGTGTCGCGGTGCACAGCCACACATGCATGCATCGCTCGTTAGTTCCGGCTGCCCCCCCCCCCTCCCCTCGATGTTGCACGAGGCAATTGTATAGGGCACGCCCGTTCGTGTTAATACAGTATCTACTGCAGTACTGTGTCCGAGCACACTTGCAGTTTCGAGGTCACGTGCGTTTAGGATTCTGTGCGGGTTTCGAGTGGATTTTTTTGTGTCTGCCGGCGATTTTGTCGCGTGTCGGTGAGCAGTTTCACTCCCGAGCGTTCGTTACAACAGCAGCATTGTATTATTAATACGCTCAGGACACACACACACATATATACAAACAAACAAACACGTAACGTTTATTAATGTAGCATTTTTTTTTCGCGACGCGTGAAAGAGGACTGCAAAATGCAACGCAAAATTCGGCAGCCTCAATTAAAACCGGTGTATTCTTGGTCGGTGGTTACGGCGGCGTGAACGAGGGGACGAGACAGCTCCGGTGAGAGGGGAGAGAGAGGGGAGAGAGGGGGGTAGGGGAGAGCGCAGAGAGAGAGCGGAGACAGGGGGGGTGGGGGAGAGCGCAGAGAGAGAGCGGAGACAGGGGGGGTGGGGGAGAGCGCAGAGAGAGAGAGCGCGGAGAGAGCGCAGAGAGCGAGCGAGAGGCGCCTCAATGCCGTAAGGAGATGGGAGGAGAACGGCAGAGGTACGCGCCGAGGACGAGAGAACCGGGGGAGAGACTTCGTTGCACCGCCGTGGTGAGGGGAGGGAAACGCGGGGAGCTGAGAGCGTAAGTCGAAGAAGAGAGGCGGGGAGAGAGAGAGAGAGAAGCGGAGGGGGGAGGCAGGAGAGGTGCGGTGGGGGGGCTCTCGGTGCTGCTGCACCCGGAGAGAGGGCGAGGGCGAGAGCCTCATGGAGACGGCTGCAGCTGCCGCTGTCCGTGGTGCTGAAAACGAACGTCGTGTATTTTGGCTGGCGATGAGAAGCGGTCGACTTATTCTCGATGGGGGCGACGAAGACGGCGGGATAGATGACGTTTAACGGCGGCACGAGGTCGATTGCAGCAGTGGTGGATGCGGCGGCGGTGGTGGTGGTGGTGGTACTCATTCTTGGCATCGGTCTTCGATAGTTCGTGCCGGCTTCGAGAGTGAGAGAGAGAGAGAGCGGGGGGGAAAAGCACAATGTGCAAAAATCGGCGACCGCCAAGTTCTCCTTGGAATAATAATAATAAGGACCCTTTCGGCTGCTCCGCGCGGAGCTGATCCCGAACCAAGTGGAAACCGACGCTCGGCATTTCCTGATTGGAACGCCAGAGGCCCCGTGTTGTAAGAAAGAAAGAGAGACACGAAAAGGCGAGGAAGATTAAGAAAGGCGGAAGAATTGGTAGAAGATGCGTCAAAGAGCGGAGTCTGCTGCTGTAGGAGTAACAAGACCGTGATCCATACCCCGACCCGTTGAAGTCATCCTCTTCCATAACCCACCACCATACAGCTCTCCTCGACTCAACCAGCAGCATCAGCTCACCCCCCCCCCACCACCATCACCTTCCCACCCACCCCTCCCTGTCATCCCATCGGCCCCCATCACTACATCACCTCGCCCCCCCCTTCTCCCTCCCCCACTCCCCTTCCTCCACTGTAAGCGCCAGCGTCGTCCCAATCACGGATGCCGAATCTCATTCCCGTGACGATGATTTTCATGCTGCTCGGCACGTCGGTGGTGTTGGTGAGAATCGCACGACGCACGACGCTTGCACGCAAGACAAGCCGCGTGGATTTGCGTGTGCACACATACACACACACATTGGGATGTGTACACACGTAGACATGTACAGACACGTAGAAATGCGTGTGCACACAGACACACACACACACATTGGGATGTGTACACACGTATGCATGTACATACACGTAGAAATGCGTGTGCACACACATTGGGATATGTACACACGTAGACATAATAGTAGGTTTTTACCCTTTTAACTGGTACAAAACTGACACAGTTTTGTACCAGTTAAAAGGGTAAAAACCTACTATTATATTTTGCCACTGGTAAAAGAGATCTCATAGTGTAAACACGTAGACATGTACAGACACGTAGAAATGCGTGTGCACACAGATACACACATTGGGATGTGTACACACGTAGGCATGTACAGACGTAGAAATGCGTGTGCACACAGACACACACATTGGGATGTGTACACACCTAGACATGTACAGACACATAGAAATGCGTGTGCACACACACACATTGAGATGTGTACACACGTAGGCATGTACAGACACATAGAAATGCGTGTGCACACAGACACACACACACATTGTGTACACACGTAGGCATGTACAGACATAAATATATGCGCGTGTGTATATGGGCATACAAATCCGTATACACGTAGACACATCGAAATGTAGACACGCATAGAATTGTACATACTGTCGAGACGTGTACGCAGACACGTAGAGATTCGTGTACTGTACACGTCGACATATTTAGAAATACATACACGTATTAACACGTGTAAATGTATAAACATAGACATGCATAGACATGCGTATGCGTACGTACGTGTGTACATGCACACACCAATTGTATACACGTAGACGAGCATAGATATATAGAGACGCGTACGCACACGGAAGCACTTAACCAGACGTAGGAGCATTGACATTGGCGTATAGACACACATACACGAACATCGACATGCATGGACGCACGTGGCAACGTAGACACACACAGGCGTACGGAATATGCACACACGTACACGTGTACATACGGTCACGGAATACCTGGACACATTGATAGGCACACACAGACCAAAATGCGTGCACGAACACTGCATGAATGTACACTGCATGTGAATCTATCAAGGAATACATGCACTAACACGTAGTGTATGTACACAGACAAAGGTCCCCCGAATAGCCTTCAACTGGCTGGGGCAAGTTATATTAGCGAGCACCTATGAAGGCCGGCACGGCACACGAGGTGCTCAATTAGGGCTGAGTCGACCTTGGGGAGGCCCAGGACCGGTTCAAACATTCGCCAATGTGATTGGTCGTGAGCTGGAATCTAACTCGGGTAGCCGGGTTCAAAGCGCAGCACGCGCGCAAGCACACATGGGCACGCATTTAAATTACAGGCACACACGTTAACATGCATGCCTGGACACATACAACAGACGCGTTTGCACACGTACCATGCATACAAAGATCCCCCGTATAGCCTTCGACAGACTGTTGGGACAAGTGCTGTTAGCGAGCACCTATTGAAGGCCGGCACGGCACACGAGGGGGTGGTTTGCCAGCCCCCACGCCCGGGCGCCTTTGGCGATGTTTGCACACCGCACCAGGTACTCATTTTGAGGCTGAGTCGACCTAGAGGGAGGACCGGTTCAGATAACCGTCACTGGCGTTGGTGGACGCGAGTGGGAATCGAACTCGGGCCGCCCGGTTCGTAGCGCTACGCGGCGCTAACCGCTGTACCACCGCTCCTCCACCCCCCTCCACACTCAAGGACACACAGACAAAGATCCCCTGTGTAGCCTTAACAGACTGTTGGGGCAAGTGCTGTTAGCGAGTAGCACCTAATGAAGGCCGGCACGACGCACGAGGGGGGTGGGTGGCCAGCACCCACGTCCGACCGCCTTTGTCTCCCCAGTGGCGATGTTTTTACGCACCGCACCAGGCCACGCATTTGAGGCTGAGTCGACCTAGGGGAGACCCATGACCGGTTCGCCGGCGTTGATGGCCGCGAGCGAGATTCGAACTCGGGCCGCCGGGTTCGTAGCGCAGCGGCGCTAACCGCTGCGCCACCGCTCCCCCCCCCCCCCCCCGCCGCCGCCTACCTCACTCAAGGACACGCACACAAGGGCACGCACAGGTAGCGGGGTAAGCGCAGGGACAAGGGCATTCCGAATGCACGCGCGCAGACAGAACGAGATTACCCCCCCCATACTCCGTAGAGGCCATGCAGGAGCGTGCTGAGGTGACCGTTGTTAGCGAGCACCTATTAAGGGCAGCGCAGCCACTGCACATGAGGGCTGCTGTGGCTAGCACCCCCACCCCGTACGCCTTTGTCTCCATAATACTCTAATGTTATTGCGCAGTGACCCCACAGGTACTTGTTTAAGGCTCAGGCGACCTAGGGGGCGACCGGATACATTCCGATTGGACTGGCCGACTGAGGATAGCCGTGGGTAGGAGTCGAACGCGGGTGGCTGGGCACGTCAGTGCAGTACACGGAGAAAGATCCCCCGTGTAGCCTGTAACAGACTGTTGGGGCAAGTGCTGTTAGCGAGCACGGCACACGAGGGGATGGGTGACAAGCACCACGCCCGGCCGCCTTTGTCTCCCCGGTGGTGATTTATACACAGCGCCAGGTACTAATTTAAGGCTGAGTCGACCTAGGGGAGGCACAGGACCGTTTCAAATATTCGCCACTGTTATTCGTCGCGATCGGAAATCGAACTCGGGTCGCCGGTTTCGTAGAGCCTCGCGAAAAACTGCTGCACGCATACAAAGACAAATATCCCCCGTATAGCCTTAACAGACTGTTGGGGCAAGTGCTGTTCGCAGTGTAGCACCTTTGAAGACCCACGAGGGGGTGGATGGCCAAACACGACACACACGCGCATTGGTGTACAACAATCTGCATTCACCGGTCAGTAACTTGTGGTTGGTCTTACTCTAGCGCCTGTACCAGGCCTTACGCGCACCTTGAGGCCACCACGTGCAGTGTGGGAGGCTCTTGCTGCTGGCAAGGAGGTCACGGGGACAGGCCCAGGTGCCGCAGGTCGGTTGACTGGCATCTCGTGTCGGATTCTCCTCGTAGCAAAAGTATCAGATGCTACGGGCCCCGCACTTTCGAGAGCCACACGCTCAATGATTTCAAGATATCAATTCCGGTGCGGTGATTCTGCACTTGCTCTATTACTATAGTACTATACCGCCTTCAACTTTTGTGAACGACTGGGTGTTTACGGTTAGCGATTTGTATTATCTGGCTGTATAGCAAATGAAAAAATACAATTACTTTACTATGCAAGTAAAAAAAAATGTTTTTTAATATTTAAGTGGGGGTTTTTTATTATTTAGGGCCCCTTTTTACATGTGCTACAGGCCCCCGCACTAGCTTAATCCGGTACTGGGAACAGGAAAGAGAGGAAGGCCTGACAGAGAACAGCTTCGAGGACGAGATCGATGTCAGAAAGACGTGGCCGCGACTCGAGCATATTGGCACGACAAGACAGAGAGACAGCGAGAGAGCGAGAGAAATTGAACGTGTGAACAACAAAAAAACGACGACGACGACGAAATGTGCAGTGGACACCTCCGGGATTATCGGCACACGGTGGATCGTGATGACGACGACCATCATAGTCAATCGATCCCCTTAATAACAGAAAGCTACAGGCCCCCCCCCCCCCCCGCTCGCTCCATCCGGCACCGCTCCCCGTGCACCACTGGAGTTGTCGCTGAACTACCGACCGTCCGGCAGCGTCGTTCACGAGCTTCGTCCGCGAAGTGACAATATTCGTTTGACACCAATAGCGTAGAGTACATGTTTATTAAATTCTTTATATTAAGTTCACTTGCGCGCTTGCTTGCTTGCGCTTACGACCGTGCAAATCTTTCGGTCGTTTTTAAATCATTTATATTAAGTTCACTTGCTTGCTTGCTTGCGCGCTTACAACCGTGCAAATCTTTCGGTCGTTTTTTAACCCACTTCCCGTGATCCAATCGAGCTGACATTTTGCACACAGACTCGTTGTGCGTGACAATTTATTTTCGTGAAAATGTTACACTTTTTAGGATTTTTTTTTATATTTAATTACCAATTGCTTAATGGTGGCAGGCAATCATCTGACCCATAGGTGGCAGCCATCTCAAGCCAGAGGACGAGAGGACTCTAGCCGCCACGCATATAAAGGATTTATAGTTAAAAACTTTGTTTTTATAGGTTAATGTTTTATTTGTTCTAACGCACATGTATTGGCAATAATACACTGGGCGAAGACCCCGGTGACGGCCCAGGTGACACGCTGGCGAGACGACGTCGCTCGGCTGGCCTGGGAATTCCCCAGGTAGAGTGAGAGCCTGTGTATAGTAGTGTATAGTGTAGTGTATAGTAGTGTATAGTGTAGTGTATAGTGTAGCGTATAGTAGTGTATAGTGTAGTGTATAGTAGTGTATAGTGTAGTGTATAGTAGTGTATAGTAGTGTATAGTGTAGTGTGGTAGTGTATAGTGTGGTAGTGTTTACATGACAACCCTTACTAGTTCTAACGACACATTAATATATTTACGCGATCTAACCCCAAAAAAACTCTCTATTATGGAGTGTATAGGAGTGTATAGTAGTGTATAGTATAGTGTGGTAGTGTATAGTGTGGTAGTGTATAGTGTGGTAGTGTATACTATAGTGTAGTAGTGTATAGTAGTGTATAGTATAGTGTAGTAGTATATAGTAGTGTATAGTATAGTGTAGTAGTGTATAGTAGTGTATAGTATAGTGTGGTAGTGTATAGTGTGGTAGTGTATAATAGTGTATAGTGTAGTGTATAGTGTAGTGTATAGTATACTAGTATATAGTAGTGTATAGTATAGTGTAGTAGTGTATAGTAGTGTATAGTATAGTGTGGTAGTGTATAGTGTGGTAGTGTATAATAGTGTATAGTGTAGTGTATAGTGTAGTGTATAGTATACTAGTGTATAGTAGTGT